AATGCTGCGCGATGCTGCAACAACGGACAGCAATGACTACTTCCTGTTAACCAGATTTACTAAACCAGGGATTTTCCAATCCTCTGTCTACTGATCTTAAAGCTAAATCCCACAAATCCCTTTGCAAATCTAGACTCTAAAATCAGAGAATGAAGCTCTAAATCATATGATTATGCAAGACACAATATATTCTTATATCATGTGAATAAAAAATCTAAAACAAGATCTAAGAACCTGCATTATTCAAGCTGTGTCTACTCAACTAAATCTTCCCATATCTAATCAAAGCTATACTCCCCTCTTACGATTTCCCAATCACAGTTAAGGCACAAATTCAGCTCACTTGAATAAACAAAGAAATAATCATTAGATCCATTCAACATCAACTAACATTTCAATATTTAACAACTCAACAATCTCAGCCAACAAATCATAATCTCATAGAGTTATATATGGATTCGAGTTCAGATTTATAGAGAAACGTAAATGTTCTTCAACAAGGTAAAACAGAGTATTGAGAGTAAGAAAAACTAAGGTGATGAGTAGAGAATCCAAATCCCCCTTTTCTAAGGTTTCTTCTAGCTCTTCCTGCATCAACAATGGACCTTCCTTTACGTTCAACACCCTGTGATGTTTTCTTCTTCTTCTTTCCAATACTGGAGCTGGTACTTGATCAGAAAAATGGAGGTGGTTTCCTTTTCCAAGTTCAGCCGCCTCTACGTTACAAAATATGACCAAGGACCCTTTCTTTCTTCTCAGCTGCAGGTACTTATTGTACTCTAATTCCACGTGGCAGCACATGAGAAAGCCTCCAATGAGTGGCTCAATCAGCACCCTTCACGGACAAAATCAGCCCATTAACCAGCTCAGGTCCAGCTGTCAGCAAAACACACGTCTGGCCCAGCTCGCCTTGCTGCAGCAATGCTGACTAGGATTCCTTCATACTCCGGAAACGAAAAACTGCTCAAAGCTCCAAACGACCACGTTTTCTTAAAGCTGAGATTATAGCACAGAGGGCACCTGAATTAGCTCTTTTTAAACACTAATCACGAGAGAGAGAATTTATGAATCACAAATAACTAAAAACAATTAACAAGACAAAATAAAGGAGAAAA